AAAGAATCTTTTTTCTTCAACCAGAATCTCAATATAACCTCTGTTCTACAATCTTCACAAATGCTTTCATTTCAGGGCTTTTGCGTCGATCTTTCGTCAAGTTCTCGCAGAAAGGCTAAGTTAATATTACTAATAGTTGTCACCTTCCAAAACGAACTTTTAAGTTGATTTTCCGACGATGTCTTGGAATAACAACTGTACTCTTGGCACATGGCAGTTGTAATCGTACTTGAAGGTGGAATCGTCGCTCAAACGGGCCTGGGTAAAACATCCATTACACACAGCATGTCCACAAGCGAGCCTCCATGGCTCATTCTTGGTGCCTCTCAACGAACCTAAACTTGTATTGCTTTCTTAAAACCAAGCATCACCCACATTCTTCCTTACAAACCGGACACTCCGGAATTGTGACTTGATTGGGTTGTTTGCACATTAACCTTTCCCTTGCCGATCCAATTTGAAAGCCCCACTTGAGAGCAGCTCTTAAAGAAGGATTCATTGATTTTTACTGTTTAAAAAATCTAACCCATTAAGTAATACGATGGAGTTGGCTCACGATCAAAACAACGCTTTGCACCGCATTGATGCGCGACCGGCCGATCGACTCGACCGAGCACTGGAGTTGGCCCCAAAGACAACAAAACGCGTCCATAGATTCCATATCCTTGATAGGTTTTTCTTTGCTTTTTGTAGCATCCCATACAATTTCTTGTTTATTAGGCAAATAGTGCTCGTTGGTGTATTCTCTGCGCCTGCTGTTTTCGAGTCTAAAAAATGCAATTACATGAGAGAAACTTATATCATTTTTAAGAAGTAATTACATCCCATTTTGTGTATTTCAAAAGTTTTAAAGTACAAACTGTATTTGGCAAATTTTGGCCTGACCTGAGCTGGCTTTAAAGTTTTGGGTTTGGATCATTCTTGGGATATTCCTGGCAGGCTCTGTTTAAATGCACCAGCTTCAAGGGCTTTTGATGATTCTAGCCGATAATTTGCCTAGTCTGACGTAATTTTTAGCCACCAAACACTATCTCAAAGCCGATTATACCTGGAAAGCGAGCAGAAGCGCTGTAGTACTACTTGAAATCTGTTGAAAATACTCTAGAAATGGTCCGAATTGAGTTAGCCTACTTAATTGGTTCAAAATCAACTCACATGGCGTGTCACATTTGGGACAATTGAAAGACTTGAAGATTTGTTGAGTCGAGGTGAGCATTCCTTGATTGATAACTGAAATGTTTGACGATTAAAAGAAGATAAAAACAAGCAAATTGGCAAAGGAACAAACTGCAATTCCTGGCAGATAAAATATTGTAAAAATGAAGAAGTAAAGAAATGTTGAGATGAATAAACTCTGCTGTTTGTCCAAGTTAGTAACTAATTCCCTTACCTAACACATTTAGACGTTACAATCCTTTTCTAAAATGATTTCACACGAAACTCAAGACGAAATAACAAGCTTGCGCCGCGGCAGATTATTTAGATTTGCGTTTTAGTTAAAAGAAATTGGTTAAGTTGAGTTTATACGGCAAGTGTGAACGGATTCAGAACAATGGATTGGAAGGAGTCAAAAAGAAAACGAAATAAAACCGTATTAGAAATTTAAACGACAAACTATGGGCAAATAATATAAAAGAGAGGGAACGAACGAGGGGAAAGAGAGAGTACTTTAAAAGCGCACTACAAAAATATAAAAAATTTCACGAAGGGGGAAGAAAACTTAGCGGCACTCGGCATAAAAGCTGGATAAAGATTCCATCATGAAATGCGGAAAATGAAAAGAATGGCAAAACGAATTTTTCTGCGGGTACGGTAGCGCATCAACGCTTTAGAAAGCGCGCCGTCCCTTAAAAGCAATATAGAATATGATTCCTTCCAGACAACGATCCCACTTCTCTCAGTCTTATTCATCGTTTTCATCTCGATTCTTTTATTTGAGCATCCACCGAACGGAAGTGGATGACCAATATTGTTAGAGGTTTGAAAAATAACAACAGCAAAATAACCTGTAGAACTTTAGCAAAGCTTGTTGATGAGCATAGCTCAAATCTTTAAAGTAACATCAATTTCATTATTCAGCTATTTCCTCAGTATGCAAACCTCAAAAAACGAGACAAAAGAGACTTTTATCAGTGACCGGTCCTCTTCTTTTCTTCCTTTACCTTGTTTTGACGTCCACAATTCTCCCACAACCAATGGTCAATTTTTCAATCTTCTTTGCCAACACTGATGCAACTTCTATATTAACTTGTTTCCTAGTCGAACCGTATCGAAAGTTTATTATCGAGAAAGCAAATCGATGGCTGAATTAAGACTTATTTTGAATCTATTATTTAAATCTCGAGAACCGCCTATCAGAACCTATCGATGTGGGGTCGGAAAATGTAGCTGACGATGAGCTCTAGTGGGGGATTCGAGTGTTGAGCTTCTGCAAAAGATTGGAAAGTGTAAACTAGTCACCAACTCGGCTCGCCGGGGTGCACTACTATTAGAGAAAATTCACTAAGAAACGGTATTTAATAAAAGAGATTCTGATCGGATCTCAATTCATTTATTGCCAACTCTGATATTTTCATTCAAAACGTCTATTCTTTGTGGAACACACTTCCTATTTCCTATTGAATTTAGATAGCTTTTGAAATCGGGAAATTTTGTTTCTTTGAGCCCAGTTATACCAGGAAGAGTCAGTTTTGTTTCCGGGTTCATTAAAGTTTTCGAGTATTGGTAAAGTTTAGTTCAACTTGCATTCTATTACTCAAAGTATTTAACGTTTAACGTTCCTTGCATTAGCTGAATGTTAATAATGTTTAGTTAGGTCAAAATTGGATCCAAAAATCTATTTGTTCAGTTCTTTAATAACAATAAATGCCTGCAATGACCACAAATCAATGCTCAAATTGAAATTATTTTAAATATTTTAGATTTGATTTCACTCTTTGTTCGCTTTTATTAGATTTCGATGAAAAAGAAAATTTATTTCTCAATGAAAATGCTGATTCAATGTTTTTGTAGCAATTGTAGGAAACTCAGCGATTTAGTTGAATGAACGTGTAGCTGTCCAATGGTACAAAGGTACAATTGTACGAGGGCACAATGGACCAATCTTCAATCTTTCCCCGCTGACAATGAAATCCTAATCCATACAAATATCTCTATTACTTGTTACTGACATCCATAATCGATCTCCTCACTTTACCCCATCCCCACCGCTCTTCAAATACCTCCCCATTGCCTCAAAACCATCATCGCCAGCTCATCTCTTGCCCCAATATTATCATCGATATTCATCGCTGTACAATCATTCAATTTCCTCACATCCCCTTTCCATTCACACCCATCAATCCACTCGAAATCCTTCAACAACACCAAACTCACTGTATACCTTATCTCCAATTCATCAATCCGAATCGAGTTTTGATTGTTTGCCCACCATTTTTCATTTCTCAGATACAAGAATGGATTTGGTAATCGGAAATTGAAGGGCTCGTAATATTTAGGTAAATTTTGAAAGTGTTGAGCGTCTTTCTCATCGGCGAGAATGAGCAAGACTTGGTATTGAAAAGAGTTCTTCCGACGGTTTCCCTTCCATCGAGGACTGGGGTTCCTTTGATACCACATTTGATTGTTCTCCAAGAACTTTAATGGTATTGTAACCCGATGATATCCTGCATTGGATTTGCCGCCAATTGGAAACGGACTCTTGTTGCCCAAACCCTTTTGAAATAAAGTGGTGGAGAAGAAAAGACCCGGACAACCGATGAGGGGACCGTCGTGGAGTTTATTGTAAACGAGTTGCCATTTCAGACGGGGAATGCTTGGAGGGGATCGACCGGGGAAAACCTGGAAGTGAAGCTTATGGTGGAGTGAGATCTCTAATCTAGAGTGAGATTTTTAAAATCCACCGGGTGGCCCACAATTATAGCGTCGCACTTCAGAGGGTCTAGCTTTGGTGAAAATTGGGTGAATCGTTCTGATTTTTCTATCTTTTCTGATAAATCTTAAGTAATAGGTTGTCCCATAAAAAATTGCCGTTTTTCAAAAAAGTTTTATTTTCAACACAAAATAAAAAGTAACAACGTAGATCAAACAATATATTTTCCTTGATCATTATAGACATTTAACCAACGTTTTGGTAACTTTGCAAGTCCACACTTGTAAAAAGCGGGTCGGCGTAAAAGAAAGTGACCCTCCAATTCGTCCTTGAGGTCACCTTGGTTGTTGAATTGCTTGCCTTGAAAGAAATCCTTTAGCGACAAAAATAAATAGTAATCAGATGAAGGGCTATAAGCGGCATATGAAAGTACATTCCAGTGCAAATTGTTTTCCATAAAATCCTTCGATTTCCTCGATTTGTGGGGATGGGCGTTGTCTTCAAGCACAAAAACGGAACCATTCCATTCATTCTGATAGACCAATCGAAGAATTTTCTGCTCAACTTGTTGCATATGACGTCTATAAACATCACTGTGAAAAGTTTGACCCTTCTGGAACAGCTCCCAAAAAAAGTATGCCAGAGGAACACCTATCGACACACAGAAATCGCTTATTCCCATGAGTATTTCGTTTTTCCACCACTTTTCCCAATCGACCTTTCCTCAACCATTGTCGTTTCAACACTCGACAATCATAGAATATCCACGATTGATCATTGAAAAGAGGAAATCGACCGCATCGATACTCGTTCAGTAATTGACGGCATGACCGCGCTCTTTGGCCCTTAATCGAATTTTTCAAATGATAGGGAATTTGCCGCTGTTTCAACCACTTTCTTCCGGTTTTTTTTGAGCCAACACCATACTGTGATTCTTCTGCAATAGTCTTGTGCCAAAATCCGAGTCGATCTTTCGGGATTTTACCGAAGTCGGCGCTTCAACGTCTGTCGATTCACTTTTCTGGGACGACCGCTTCCTCGCTTTCGTGTGAGCCGGTTGTCACCTTTTTGGAACTTCTGAAACCACCATTGTGTATTCCTTTCCTTGACGATTGTTGGCCCATAAAAGAATTGATTTCTCTCGCTGCTTTGGCCGCGGAAATCCTCTTCAAATATCGTTGATGGATTATTGATGGATTTCTTTACGAGACAGCGCCATGTGATCGATCACAACTTTTTTTTGTTTTTGATTCCTAAAAAAGAGAATTTAGCACATAAAACTAGAATTGTAAATTAGCATAATAAAAAAAAGAGAAAGAAAAAGTGTTAACTTGTCGCTGAATACGAATCAAATGAAAAAACGGCAATTTTTTATGGGACAACCTAATATGTCTCCTAAATAAAAAAGATAAATCTTAAGAACGTTGCCTATTATCTAATCGATTCAAGCTTTCAACTTTTTAGATGGCCTTCCAAAGTTGAGAGCCGAGTGTCGTTTGGCTTACTATTACTATTCCGCATTTTTTGGGATTTTAAAAGTTTCATTTTCTTGTCAAAAAGTCTTTAAGATTTAAATGATTTTCAATTAATCACATTTAATTATGAAATGGAAGCGATAGACCTTGGGAAAAATAAGATTTTCTTGTTCTTTAGTGGCTTCCCTCAATGCCCAATTGATCATTAAAGTGAAAATAGATCATATTACGTGAGTCTTGGTGATATTTCTCTTGAATTGTTTCATTTAAACTGAATAGAGAATGTGGAATTTCGTTCATTAGCATGAAAAATTAAACCTTAACATGATCTTATTTTTTCAAGGTCTATCGCTTTCATTTCATAATTGAATATGATTAATTAAAAATCATTACAATCTTAAAGACTTTCTAGCAAACAAATGAAACTATTAAAATCCCGAAAATGCGTAATAGTAATAGTAAGCCAAACGACACTTGGCTCTCAACTTTGGAAGGCTATATAAAACCTCAATGAGTTTTTTACAAGATCGACAAGACAAAAATCCCATAAACGAGTAGCGAGCGACACCCGGCTCTCAACCTTGGGAAAGCCAGCTAAAAAATTTGAAAGCTTCAATCGGTTAGATAATGTGCATCGTTCCAAAAGACAATTAAGATTTTTCTCCAGAAAAATCAGAACGATTCACCCAATTTTCACCAATGCTAGACCCTCTGAAGTGCGGCACTATAATTGTGACTTGTGACAATCCGGCATTCTCAGGATTCTCAGGAATACATTGCCAATCTTTATACAATTCTTTTTCATCCACCTCATTCTTCGTGATTCGGTGTGCGAATTCTGTGGGCGCCATAAAGTGACTCCCATCAACACAAGCCTTTTCCCAATCATAGAAGATCATCAACAAACTCCGGAGATCCCATAAACCTGAACCTATTTGAATTAGTTTTAAATTTTACCTATTGAGTGACTAAACCGAATTTGCACAACTTTAAAACGCTGTTCGACTTATCAACCCTTATCTAATGCACGGCTAATGAGAAAGCCAACATCAAGAACAAACCTGATTTATTCGTCTCACATCCATTCTCTGAAATATAATTCCCCCATTGAAACAAAAGCCTTTGTCGGAGATTTTCGCGAAATTCCTCATGAGAAACTCTTTCCATTGAATCCCATCCAAACCCGGGTGCTTGAAAATCCTTCAAAAATGCCACACTCACTCGATAGCGGAACTTGTTGCATAAAAAGTTTGTAAAGCAACATTTCTGGGTTAGACAAAGAAATGGATTATCTTCTAGAGCTAAGGGAATAAAATAATCCGATAGGCTTAAGAAAATCGATTTCTGGAGTTCATTGACAGTGATGATCAACTTGACTCGATAAAGTTGAAAGGAAACTTTTGGAGAACGGAGATAAAATGCGGATAGCTGCTTTGATTGGATGAGATATTGAGTTAAACCGGAAATCTTTCTCGTTTGATGATAGGCAATCGGATTGGTGATCATTTGATGTTGAGTGGCCATTATCACCCATAAAGCCGGCATTCCAATCAATATCGGCACTCCTTCACCCTCATCGGTTGGAGACCAACTCAAGGTTTTCGGGTGGCCGTCCTGAATTGAATTTGCAAGTACAAGTAAAGATTTTCCAAAGAACTGGGTGAGGTTTGGCCTTGGCCAAGGTCAGAATCTGTCGTCTTACTTTAAGCCCAGATCCAGGTCAGACTAAACCAGTCGATTTAGTGTGACACGTTTGTACTGAACCTAGCTTAGAGTTAGTCTTGTCTACTGACCTACAAAATTTAAACTACGGTATTTGAATTGTTGAGGTAAAGATCACGAACATTTATCGGCTGAAAAAAGCTGAACACGGGCTCCATTCTCTTGATCCATTGCGGTATTCTGTGCATCGTTTTGTACCATTTCATTTCATCATAAAGATCATTGAAAGACATGCTACAAGACGGAAATGATATTATTTGAGAAGAATTTTGAAGGAAACCAAAAAAATCAAATAGAAAACAGCTGATCGATAGGGTAACTTTTCAGAGAAAAGGAAATGCCCAAAAATTGATGCTTTTCCGGGTGGTGTACCAAAGGAAAAGTGTGACCAAAAGCCTAGTGATTCATTTGAAATAAAAATTTTTGAATCTATTTAAAAATTTCTAAATCTTTCCAATTAAAATAGCCAACAATTAGAAATACAATTTGAAGCCCTTTTGTTCTCCCAAATTAGATAAACCTTTAAAAGTTCGTTGCCGGGACAACAATTACCGTGCGAGTGTGCAGAAATGTAGGAGAATAGTTTGGTTGAAATTCTCATGTAAAAGAACAAAGATTGATCGGCGATTATCCTACGATCCTACGATTATCCTACGATCAAAGATTGATCGGCGATTATCCTCAATCAATTATTGAGAATTGAGGCACTGAAAAAGTAGAGTGTGTTCCTCGCGAGTAAGTAAAATACTTGAGTAAAATCTTCTGAGTAATCTTTTTTATTTGATTAATGGACGTTTTTTGGTCGAGTAACTACGAGTAATCCTCTTTACACTTTGAGTAAATTGAATATCTTTACCATTGAGCTAAAAAATGGAGTTCGTGTTTTTTTTTCGGGGTAGGCTAATTTCCGGAGTTTTTTTTGAGATATGATAATGCGTGAATAAAACTTAACAATCTTCGAAAATGCCCTAAAAAACCCTCACGTTGGAGCTTTTCAGTAAGGTGACGACATCTTGGTCTTTTCAATTAAATCACTCAACGATATCTAAAAACTTTAACCAAACATTCATTTCACCATCTTTTTCACGAGACTCTTTACCGCCAGATGCTCGTTTTTCTTCAACTTTTTGAAGAACGAGAGATAATTTTTCAAATCTTTTTTTCTCGCAAAGTGTCAATATTTGAATAAAGTAACCGATCGAAAATTTCCCGAAAAACTCGCCATAACTTTCTTCTAAGTGGGCCAATCTTTATGATTTTGGTTTCATTTTGTTGCATTTATTGAGATCTACAAAATGAAACCAAAGATTGAAATCATAAAGATTGGCCCACTGAGAAGAAAGTTATGGCGAGTTTTTCCGGAAATTAGTCTACCCCATTTTTTCGCGTCATTTTTTTGCCAAAGGTACGGTATTCTTTTCCCAAGTGTGCGTTTTAAAAAACGCATTACAGGAAAACACTGTAGAAGAAAAAGTGTATGGCACATACAGTACTGGACAATGAAATATCATATTTGAAAAAAGATCGTCACTTTCGCGCGTCTGTAACTCTCTTGTCTTTGAGTTTAAACTATTAGTGTTATACATTTTCTGAAAGCCCTTTTCAAGGGCTACACAATGGTAATATTAATATTTAGAAATACGGGAGTTACAGACCCGCGAAAGTGACGATCTTTTTTCAAATATGATATTTCATTGTCCTGTAGTGTAGGTAACAAAAATAATCGTCTTTAAATCAAAAATTCGAACACTACAAATTTTAAGTTAGGCCTAAAAATGAACGGAAAAAATAAAATAATCCAAAAACTATCATCCAAAATTTCAGAATTAAAGGCGGCGACTTTGATGTTAGTGAAATTTCATATTTCATCGAACCATAAAGTGTTATATGTCATTCAATAGCCCTTATCACGCTCTTTCAGAATACTGAGTTGAATTTTTGTGAAATTCTACTTTTCCATGAAATTTCTTCACTATTCTGCGCCGAAAAGTCAAAATAATTTTTTCACAAAAATCTAGCTGATAAACTAGGCTCAAAAAGCAAATTTCTGAATTCTACGCAAAAAGTTAGTCGGGAACTGTTTTTTAATTTTGTGTTTTGGTCAATGGAAACGCCAGCTCTGAAACCTAGGTTTTTTAGAAGTGCGAGGCGGTTTCATGGCCCGCGCGCACCTTTGATGTTGGTAAAATTGTTCTTTTGTGTCAAATCATCAAGTGTTATATATATATATCATTCGAAAGGATTTTTATGTGTTTAAACATGACGGAAAGAATTTCCCAAAAACTTTGACTTTTTATTAGTTTTCTCCGATTTTAGAATCTGGAATGCAAATTTTTTTCTGGTTCTGCGGTACTTGCACATCTGGTATAGTCTAGAAAAATTTCTTGAAAAAAAGTGAAGAACGCAATTTTTTTTGAAGAAAGAGTTACAATTCCAGGAAAGTTGAAATTGAGAGTATTTGTCAATCTCGGGTAGGCAACCCAGTTGTACAGACAAATATAGACTGCCTTGACAATTACTCGGTAAACTATGCCAAAGGCATGACAGATGATAAAATTATAAATGTCAATCGCAGGAGAAAATCATTTAGTTACAGACAATTTTGCTTTCCGATTATTTCCGATTTGAAACGTATGCACAACAACTGGAACGAGTGAACAATGTATTGCTACAAAAAAGGCCTTGATCCTTCAAACATAAAGTTCATTCAAGATAACGCCCATCCACACGTTGCAAAGATTGTTCAGGAAAAACTCGAAGAGTTGGGCTGGGAAACTCTCCCGCATCCGCCATATTCTCCGGATATTTCTCCTTCGGATTACCATTTATTTCGCTCAATGCGAAACCATTTGGCCGGAAACAAGTTCAAAGAAGTTGAAGAGGTCGAAAAATGGATAGCCGACTTGTTTGCCTCAAAACACGCCAATTTTTACGCGGAGGGAATTCATTCTTTGCATGGAAGATGGAAACAAATATTGTTAACAAATGGTGAATATATTGTTGATTGAGCTGTTAAACTGTTGGTTTTAAAATAAAGAGTTGTTATCTTAAAAACGCGCATTTATAACTGGACAACCTAATACATTTGTATTTTCAACACTTTCAAAACAAAAGTTATAATTTGCAGATGGGACGAACATCAGAAGCGAAAAAGCCTAGAAGTGGCAACTTGGAACATGAACGCCAAACGAATCAAAACAACATGCACGGATTACGAAGTGGGAAAGTTCCTGCAAATCCTGTGCAATCAAAAGAAGAAAGCTCATCGCGTTCCGCAGACAATCAACAAAAAGAAAAAGAATTCGACAGGAAAGCACATTTGAAAGGAGCACTGGAGGCAAGGATTCTGAAAGATAATGAAAAGAAAAGAGCCGAGCAAAATCGTCAAAACGCCGTCTATGTGGCAAAAGCAAAGCAAAAAGATGATGATTCTGTTGCTTCAACCTCACATATTCCAACCAAATCACCGCCTCCTCCAACTCCAGAAGCTCTGCTCGGTATGAAAAAAAGTGCCAATCTATCAAATAAAGGGCTATTAGCTGTAAACCATTTTCTTCAGTCAAGCCAAGGGGTAACCATTGGTTCACAACGAACTATCGAAAAGGCCAAGAAGACTCTGGACCAGTTTGTCAGATATGAAATAGTTCTCAATGAAGGAGTAAGATTGGAAGCTGTGTTGAAAGCTGTTGAAAAGTGGCGAAGAAGATTGGATCTGCTGAACGAGGAAAGCGGCTGATTTTTTTCCCTCGATAAAGGACACGGCCGAGTTATTTCAACCATTTCATTCTCAATCTGCAAAAAACTGTGCTCGTCTCGCAATTGTCTTCCATTACAAGCTTGGGAAGGTTCAGATTCCTACGACTCGCTGAAGGAAAGACTTGGAAAGACTTTGAGACTTTGGTGCAAGCCGGATATATGGTTTTTCTTGGTGGAGATCTATCTTTCTTGAACACCAATTTTGGTATTTCCTGTGCGATGACTTTTGGATGTTTATGGTGCAACAAGAGGTTTGACAAAAAAACATCCGCTGATAAGGATTCAATTGATTCTCAACAATATGCTGATCGGAGTGACCCTTCGGTGGAAGCGATGATTTCAAAAGTAAAAGGTCTGCAGTCAAAAAAAGAAAATCTATTAAATGTTTCTCGAAGTTTGGTAATTCCCCCAATACTTCATGCAAAAATCAAGATTGGAAACCAACTTTTTGATCAATTGGTGAAACTCAAAGGCTCCTCTCAGTCTTTCCAAGATGTTTGTCGAAAATCGAAGTTGGATGTGAATCGGAAGAGTGAGGGATTATCTATGTTCTTTTCAACGGAAACGATATAAAGAATCTCTGTCGATCCTCAGTGATTTCTGATTTAGCAGTCGTTTCTTCCTCCCGTTCCTATCAAATGATCATTTCTGCTTTACGTGAGTTCAACAAATGGTCTCAAATGGTTTCAACCACTAAAAGTGTTCTTTCGGATAAAGAAATAAAAGATTTGGCTTTGCAAAGGCAAACACTCAAAAGCCAGAAATTGCTGCCAAACAGCGATTCTTTGCAATGAACCAGAAAAAGTTGGTGGTTTTGGACAAAGTATACTGGTCCATGCTCTACTCTTACATCTTGGTCCATTTGTCCATTGTCCATGTCGCATTTGTGAACTTTCGTGATGATGAAGACGTTAAGTTTGGGTTTTAATGAACTTATTATCGTAAATCTAGCAAGTTAGTTGCTAATCTGGTACTTGTGGAGGATCCGGGGTGGTAAAATTTTAAGATCCGGGGTAAACTTTCAAAAACCAACCAAATGCCCAAAACTGTTTTTTTGTTAATATGGCTTTGCGTGTGGTAACTAAATTTTATAACTATACCAGCAACGAATAAACAAGATGCACGAGTAATGCAAGAACATAAACATAAACCAAACATAATAATTAAATAAATTTGTGAAGTACAACAGTGACTATTTGTAACAGTGACAATGAATACTACTTGTAAAAATCTATCGAATTTACTTCTAGGCCAGGAGGCCAAAAAACGAGCAATATCCTTGAGAATTTGCTCAAATGCGTCCGCGTCTTTGGGCAAAATAAGGCGCCAGAGTCCTTCAGCAATCCATGACTCAACCATGTGTTCGTGGGTTCCATGGCGAAATCGATTGCTATCTTTGAAAGGTCGCCAAAAGCGTTCTATTGTTTGCGTATGGATAGTCGCATCTTTTGGATCCAAAAAATTCACGCTATGATTTACCCATCCCCAAGTGTATTGTTTGTCTTATTCCAATCAACCGTTGTGTTATTGGCCCATCCCAATTCGTCTTTGAGAAAATCGATCGAGTGATGTCCAGAGCTCCAAATTGACAAAATCGATGAAGAAAAAAGTGGTCCCCCAACTCGGACACTATCAAAGGTTTTTTTCTCAGAATGCGATATTCCGAGGTGAGCGCGCTTTCCGAGCGTGATGCGATTGATATTTTTGTTCAAGCAGGAATCCTTGCAGCACCGGCATGTGGATGTGGTCGTAAAATGAAGATTCGCAGTAAGGAGAAGAATGTCTATCGTTGGGAGTGTGACAACTGTATTCGTGAACGAGCCAAAGGAAATAGAGCAACCAAGGGCATGAGAGTGAACCATTTTTTTTTCACTTTCACACCGCCCATTTCGTGAGCTGCTCAAATTTTTGTCAACGAGACATAAACAATGAATTGCTCCAGGTGAAAAACCAAAGCCCGATTCCAAGCCCGAAATTCCGGAGAAGAAGATCATGTTATGTATTTGGTGGGACAGAGAAGGAGTTATTTACTGGGAGTTGCTAGAAGGGACAACTATCAAGGTATCCCTAGACGTTGATCAATTGGATCGAGTCGCTTCTGAAGTGTAGGAAGAGGCCAACCATGAGCAAAGTTATTTTGAAACATGATAACATGTTGCAAACTTGAAAACTGAAAACTGAAGACTTTAGGCTTGGAAGTTCTCCAGCATGCGCCTGACTGGACTTCTAGTGATTTGATCTTTTCAAGAATGGCTGTTGATTTGGATAAAGAGCACTTTGGAGATGCGGAGGAAGTTGAAAAAAATAGATCGGCTCCTTCAAGCGGCAACCCCGTAGCTTTTGGGAGAAGAGAATCAACGCCTTGCCCAATAAATGGCAACAAGTTATACTTAATAATAGCGGCTATTTTGGATCAATATATAATTTATTTTTTGAGAAATTACAATTCAAACATTTAGGAAAGACTTATGCACAAACCAAATTTGAAAACGGAATATGTCCAAGCAGGATGTTCAAAGAATTGTATTCACTATTTGCCGGTAAATCGCTATCGCTAGATTAATTACAACATTCAAATTTAGAAAGAGACCCGTGAAATGCTTGGCTGTCTTATTGGTGCCATTGTTGGCGTGTTCCTCGGCATGAAAGAATTTTTCGAATCCGTCTGACAGATTTTTTTTAAATCGAAAAAATCACTATTTTTCCATATAAACGCCAAAATTGCCTCTCTTTTACAGGCTGGTTCTCGGTGAAAAGGAAATTTTGGTGAGCGTCATATACCAAACTTTATGCCCAAGGGTCTTGTGCACATTTTGACACCAAAACGAGATCAATTGGGTGAATTTGTGAAAAGTTGATGCCTTTTGAACGCAAAAGTAGCGTTTTTTAACTTTCTGCGCGCTAAAGCGTGGGTAAACTACCGTAACCATTACAAAAAAAAACAAAATTATAAAACAAACAAATGCATTTAAATGCAAACAAATGCATTTAAATGCAAACAAATGCAAATGCATGCTGCTGCATTTAAACGAGCCGGCCAAGCATATCTCAAGAATGCTCCAAACCCAAAACTTTAAAGCCAGCTCAAGGCAGCCCAAAATTAGCCAAATACAGTTTACACTTTAAAACTTTTGAAGTACGCAAAATGGGATGTGATTTCTTATTAAAAATGATGCAAGTTTCAGTCACGCAATTACATTTTTTAGACTCGAAAACAGCAGGCGCAGAGAATACACCAACGCAGACTTATTGCCCTGTTATTCCAGATATTTGTATGGGATGTTACGAAAAGCAGAGTAAAAGAAATCCAATGCATCAATGCGGTGGAAAGCTTTGTTTTAATCCCAGGTCATATCCATCGTATTACTTAATGGGTAAGATTTTTTTAAACAATAAAAATCTATCAAACCTTCTTTAAGAGCTGCTCTCAAGTGGGGCCTTCAAATTGGATCGGCAAGGGAAAGGGTATGTGCAAACAACCCAATCAATCACAATTCCAGAATGCCCGGTTTGCTATGAGGAATGTGGGTGATTCTTGGTTTTAAGAAAGCAATACAAGTTTAGATTCGTTGAGAGACGTTAAAAGTGAGCCATTAAGTCTCTATTGTGGACATACTGTGTGTAATGGATGTTTTACCCAACGGGCCCGTTTGCGCCCCCATCACATCTTCAAGCACATTTACAAATGCCCACTGTGCCAAGCCAATAGTTATTATTCCAAGACATCGTGGGAAAATCGACTTAAAAGTTCGTTTTGGAAAGTGACAACTATTGGTAAGATTAGTGCTACAGTAAAGTAATCAATCAACAGTAATCAATTTAGCCTTTCTGCGAGAACTTGACGAAAAATCAAGGCAAAAAGAAGCGGAAATGAAAAGCATTTGTGAAGATTGTAGAAAAGAGGTTTGATTGAGATTCTGGCTGAAGAAAAGACTCTTTAGGTGTCTCTCCTCGAAATGTTCCAATGCATGGATTGTGGGGATAAAGTGGTAGATGAATTTTGATCAAAATCAGAAACGAGATCACTGTAGTTATGCCCTCGATGTTCTTGCAAGAATCATCGTCTTCATCAGATTATCGATCTTGAAGTTGTGGAGGTCGGCATAATTTAGGAGCTTCCTGGCGTAAATTGTACTAGCGTTTCAGGTGTCTCTCCTCGAAATGTTCCAATGCATGGATTGTGGGGATAAAATGGTAAATGCATTTTGATTAAATTAAAAGGAGATCGCTGCAGTTATGCTGTCGGTGTGCTTGGAGGAATCATCATCCTCATCAGGTTATCGATCTTGAAGTTGCTGAGGTTGGCATAATTTAAGAGCTTCCTGGAGTAAATTGTACTAGCGTTTCAGGTGAAGAAACTGGGGAAAGTGACTCGCGAAACGATCATCCCACAAATTGAGGCCTACAATGTCTGTTTCCCAGAACTCCAATCGGATTTGATCAAGAATTTCAATGAGTGCCAAAAGGTGAAATCTTTGATTTAAAGAAGTTGATGAGCCTGTGTTTTCAGAAAATTCTCAGTCGAACCGATCAACTCGGTTACCTCAATGGATTTGCAAAAGCAAAGGAGCAACAGGAGGCTTGCATGTGAGTTTTAAAGGGTCAAATTAATCAAAGAAGAATGGCACATAAAACAAGCTAGCGGTTCCACCCCGCACAACGGGTACAACGAAATGTAAAAATTAAAATCGTGGAACTCAAAAATCCAAACAATAACTTTTTAAAGTTGCTTTGCTACCCAGCTAGCATAAAAAACATTCTTTCATCAAAATTCTTCTACTGGAAAAAAGTTATTTCAATGAACTTTTACACAGCACAACGCTGATGCAATTTGTCCAATATAAATGAGCTAGATATTAGTTTTTTTACGGATTTTTAAAAAATTCAATAAAACATGGGACAACAATCTAAAAAACGAATCTGCAGTCTCACCAGATTATGCTGTGTAGAAGTTTATTGAAATAACTTTATTTCCCGTCGAAGGATTTCCATAAAAGAATGTTTTTATGCTAGCTGGATAGCAACTTTAAAAAAGCCATTGTTTGGATTGCTGCGTTCCACTATTTGAATTTTGTACTCGATGTGCCCCGGGTCAGGCACAGTCTAGTGGAACATAATGCTAGCTATATTCTCCCACTATTAACAGGAAAAAAGCTTTTTCTATTCTTATTGTTCATTTTGAGAGCATTTGGCGAGAGATTCGAGACGATTTGCGAGAAATATTTGGGTGAATCGCGGTCATTCAACACCGGTATTGAGGTGAGTGCATTTGACATAGGAAATGGGATTTTAAATTGTGTAAATCAAATCCATGTAACACTCAATTTCTATTCAAAACTCTCAACCTGTTGTTTTCATATAATCTGAATTCGAAAATAGTGAAGGTGGCAAAACTAAACGATTCAGAAGCTGATCGATGTCATCAACGAGTCGCCGAAATGAAAATCTTTGAACTTTCTCCATTCTAACATTTTTCACTCTTACTCAAGTTTTGTGAATGCAAATTCAATTTCATTTATTTATTTTATTTTTATTTTGAGTGTTTAGAACACTGTTTGTTCACTTTCGCAATTCGCAAGATAAGCAATCAAGATTTCTCTCAACTATCATTTCGTGGTGTGTTATTGCCAAGTTTTCCTCTAGTATTATCTTATTTCTTACTGACTTTCATCAATTCATTAATTGCAAAGAATAAAAATTTGCAAAGGACGAGTTGTGCTGTAGTTTGAAACAATATGAGAATTTGGCAATCAATCAAAGATAGGTCAAGTGTTCTACCAAAGGCGCCAGCGGTCAAATGGCTGGTAATTTTTGGGAAAGTGTAAATGGCCAAAAACTGTCAAAGTTTTTGAATAGTTTCTAATTTCCTCTATTCTAAAACATTTATAAATTTGAATTCTCGTAAAAAAGATGGTGAAATGATTGTTTGGTTAAAGTTTTTAGACATCGTTGAGTGATTTAATTGAAAAGACCAAGATGTCGTCACCTTACTGAAAAAGCTCCAACGTGAGGGTTTTTTTAGGGCATTTTCGAAGATTGTTAAGTATATTCACGCATTATCATATCTCAAAAAAACTCCGGAAATTAGCCTACCCCGAAAAAATCATGAGCTCCGTTTTTTTTACGACTCTTCTTGAAGATATTCAGCTGTTCAAATGATTTGGCGGCAAATTCCCATCAAGATATTCCAGGGTAAAGATATTCAATTTACTCAAAGTATAAAGAGGATTACTCGTAGTTACTCGACCAAAAAACGTCCATTAATCAAGTAGTAAAATGATTCAGAAGATTTTACTCAAGTATTTTACTTACTCGCGAGGAACACATTCTACTTTTTCAGTGCCTCAATTCTCAATAATTGACTGAGAAAGGGATCATAGGATAATCGCCGGCCAATCTTTCTTCTTTTACATGAGAATTTCAACCAAACTATTCTCCTACATTTCTGCACACTCGCACGGTAATTGTTGTCCCGGCAACGAACTTTTAAAGGTTTATCTAATTTGGGAGAACAAAAGGGCTTCAACTTGTATTTCTAATCAAAATTTGATAAATCTCGGAGAAGCCAATTGTTGGCTATTTTAACTGGAAAGATTTAGAAATTTTAAAATAGATTCAAAAATTTTTATTTCAACTGAATCACTAAGCTTTTGGTCACACTTTTCCTTTGATTCACCACCCAGAAAAGCAGCAATTTTTGGCCATTTCCTTTTCTCTGAAAAGTTTCCCGTCTTTTTGTGATTCATGATTGAAAATTCGACATTTATTTTCCTATCGATCAGCTGTTTTCTATTTGATTTTTTTGGTTTCCTTCAAAATTCTTCTCAAATAATATCATTTCCGTCTTGTAGCATGTCTTTCAATGATCTTTATGATGAAATGAAATGGTACAAAACGATGCACAGAATACCGCAATGGATCAAGAGAATGGAGCCCGTGTTCAGCTTTTTTCAGCCGATAAATGTTCGTGATCTTTACCTCAACAATTCAAATACCGTAGTTTAAATTTTGTAGGTCAGTAGACAAGACTGACTCTAAGCTAGGTTCAGTACAAACGTGTCACACTAAATCTACGGGTTTAGTCTGACCTGGCTTGGGCTTAAAGTAAGACGACAGATTCTGACCTTGGCCAAGGCCAAACCTCACCCAGTTCTTTGGAAAATCTTTGCTTGTACTTGCAAATTCAATTCAGGACAGCCACCCAAAAACCTTGAGTTGGTCTCCAACCGACGAGGGTGAAGGAGTGCCGATATTGATTGGAATGCCGGCTTTATGGGTGACAATGGCCACTCAACATCAAATGATCACCAATCCGATTGCCTATCATCAAACGAGAAAGATTTCCGGTTTAACTCAATATCTCATCCAATCAAAGCAGCTATCCGCATTTTATCTCCGTTCTCCAAAAGTTTCCTTTCAACTTTATCGAGTCAAGTTGATCATCACTGTCAATGAACTCCAGAAATCGATTTTCTTAAGCCTATCGGATTATTTTATTCCCTTAGCTCTAGAAGATAATCCATTTCTTTGTCTAACCCAGAAATCTTGCTTTTACAAACTTTTTATGCAACAAGTTCGGCTATCGAGTGAGTGTGGCATTTTTGAAGGATTTTCAAGCACCCGGGTTTGGATGGGATTCCATGGAAAGAGTTTCTCATGAGGAATTTCGCGAAAATCTCCGACAAAGGCTTTTGCTTCAATGGGGGAATTATATTTCAGAGAATGGATGTGAGACGAATAAATCAGGTTTGTTCTTGATGTTGGCTTTCTCATTAGCCGTGCATTAGATAAGGGTTGATAAGTCGAACAGCGTTTTAAAGTTGTGCAAATTCGGTTTAGTTACCCAATAGCTAAGATTTAAACTTAATTCAAATGCGTTCAGGTTTACGCTGGGATCTCCGGAGTTTGTTGATGATCTTCTATGACTGGGAAAAGGCTTGTGTTGATGGGAGTTACTTTATGGCGCCAACAGAAATCGCTCAGCGAATCACGAAGAATGAGGTGCGTGAAAAAGAATTGATTGGTATAAAGATTGGAAATGGATTTCTGAGAATCCTGGAAAATGCTGGATTGTCACAAGTAACTACAGGGTCACAATTATAGTGCCCCACTTCAGAGGGTCTAGCATTGGTGAGAATTGGGTGAATCGTTTTGATTTTTCTGGAGGTAAATGTTAAGTATGTCTTCTGAAACGGTGCACATTATCTAATCGATTCAAGCTTTCAACTTTTTTAGATGACCTTCCAAAGTTGAGAGCCAAGTGTCGATTACTACTTTTTGAGATTTTTTTTGATTTTTTTTGCTAAAAAGTCTTTAAGATTTTAATGATTTTCAATTAATCATTATTAATTATAAAATTTAAAAGCGATAGACCTTGAAAAAGAATAAGATTTTCTTATTCTTTAGTGGCTTCTCTCAATGCCCAATAAATGATTAAAGTAAAAATAGATCATATTAAGTGAGTTTTGGTGACATTTCTCAAGAATTTTTTCATTTAAACCGATTAGAGCATGTGGAATTTCGTTCATTAACATGAAAAAAAATCTCAAGGAGTTTTTGACAAGGTCGCTCTAAAAAAATCCCACAAATGAGTCGGCACTCGGCTCTCAACTTTGGAAGGTCATCTAAAAAAGTTGAAAGCTTAAGTCGATTAGATAATGGGCACCGTTACAGGAGACATGCTTAAGGTTTTTCTCCAGAAAAATCAGAACGATTCACCCAATCTTCACCAATGCTAGACCCTCTGAAGCGCGACGCTATAATTGTGGGCCACCCAGTGGATTTTAAAAATCTCACTCTAGATTAGAGATCTCACCCCACCATAAGCTTCACTTTCAGGTTTTCCCCGGTCGATTCCCTCCACGCCTTCCCCGTCTGAAATGGCAACTCGTTTACAGTAAACTCCACGACGGTCCCCTCACCGGTTGTCCGGGTCTTTTCTTCTCCACCACTTTATTTCAAAAGGGTTTGGACAACAAGAGTCCGTTTCCAATTGGCGGCAAATCCAATGCAGGATATCATCGGGTTGCAATACCATTAAAGTTCTTGGAGAACTATCAAATGTGGTATCAAAAGAATCCCAGTCCTCGATCGAAGGGAAACCGTCGGAAGAATTGTTTTCAATACCAAGTCTTGCTCATTCTCGCCGATGAGAAAGACGCTCAACACTTTCAAAATTTACCTAAATATTACGAGCCCTTCAATTTCCGATTGCCAAATCCATTCTTGCATCTGAGAAATGGAAAATGGTGGGCAAACAATCAAAATTCGATTTGGATTGGTGAATGGGAGATAAGATATAGAGTGAGTTTGGTGTTGTTGAAGGATTTCGAGTGGATTGATGGATGTGAATGGAAAGGGGATGTGAGAAAATTGAATGATTGTACAGCGATGAATATCGATGATAATATTTGGGCAAGAGAGGAGCTGGCGATGTTGGTTTTGAGGCAATGGGGAGGGTATTTGAAGAGCGGTGGGATGGGGTGAAGTGAGGAGATCGATTATGGATATCAGCAACAAGTAGTAGAGATATTTGTATGGATTAGGATTTCTTCGTCAGCGGTGAACGGCTGAAGATTGTACCATTGTACCATTAGACACCCCTTCATTCAACCAAATCGCTGAGTTGCCTACAAGTGCTATCAAACATTGAATCCGCATTTTCATTGAGAAATAAATTTTCTTTTTCATCGAAACCTAATAAATGCAAACAAAAAGTGAAATCAATTCTGAAATATTTAAAATAATTTCAATTTGAGCATTGATTTGTAAGTTCAATTTTCAACTTGATCAATGTTTTTCTGAATCACCAGCAACGTCCATTGAGCGGTGAAGGAAAAACTGAAAAATTTCGTGCATCAGAAAGCTAGCGTTTTTATTTTCCGAGCACAAACCATATTAGTATACCAGGTTAAAGTTTGGGCAACTAAACCTAGTGTATTGAAGCATAAAACACGCTAATCAGAATATCTCATCTGGTTGAGTGCCATTGGTTGTTTTCATGGTACAGCCTCGACATTCATCGTCATACTTTTGTATGATAGCTATCCGGTGTACTTCTTTAGGATACTCAAGCCTTTCCTTTGGAAACAGGTAATGAATGGGTATAAAAAATGTATACAAATCTTGGAGATATCTAAAATTTATAGCTTTTAAGTCAGGGCCTGGCTAGGCTAGAGTCAAGGTAAACTCGCTTCGGGATTAGGCCAGGCCAACTTTTCGCCTCTATGTCTGTGCCGTCAAGACTTTTGTCCATTGTTTTTGTGACCTTTTTGTCGTTTACGCTTATTTTTGTTGTTTAAGATAGTTATTTGTTGTTTAAGATAAACTTCCGATTTCAATGCTTGGTCATAGCTAAAAGTAGAGTAAAAATGCTCAAAAATACTTGTGACAACTTTTTTATAGCCTCTCGGAAAGGTTCATAAATTCGCGTTTGAAAGTTGCCACCTAGGATCCGCCAAGACTTTTGTCCATGACTGTAAATACAAGCTCTAAATTATTTAGATGAAAAACGATTTGATAACTAGCCTTTGGAGCTAAACTCGAAAATATGATGGCTCAAGTAAAAAAGTTTAGTACTGAATTGAGATACGAAGGTTTCTCTTTGCTTGTTCATCAAGCAAATAGAAGCAAAGCAAAGAACAAATAAATGAATGTTTGATAAAAGAAAAAAATCTGCAAGAATTGTTCTGCAGGATCTCTGACCTTTGATTATCATTTGTCAAAAGCCAAAATCGAAACGATACCATTGGGATACGTGATAAACCTTAGCTAAAACATATCCTTTTCCATTGGAAGATTTTTTTCATTGATGGATGATTGAGAATTTCTAAAATGGCACACATTATAATGCAATATATTGAAAAGCACCAAAAGGGAAATATAAGGGCTTTTTGCGTGCATAACAATCAAGAAAGGATTTCCAACTCCACGTATCCCAATGTATCGTTTCGATTTTGGCTTTTGACAAATGATAATCAAAGGTCAGAGATCCTGCAGAACAATTCTTGGAGTTTGCTCTATCACCGGACTTAATTAATTATCTTCTATTAAGTCTATGGGATAACAATTATTGGCAGATCTTTCCGATTTTCATGAGAGTTAAATTCCTTTTCCTTGTAAGGGACGTCGCGCCTTCTAAAATGTGGATGCACTACCGTACCCCGCAAACAAATTAGCTTTTGCCATTCTTTTCATTATTATCCAGCTTTTATGCCGAGTGCCGCTAAGTTTTCTTCCCCCTTGGTAAGATTTATTGTTTTTGTTTTTAAAGTAATCCCTCTTTCCCCTCCTTCGTTGCCTCTCTTTTATATTGTTGCCCATAGTTTGTTGTTTAAATTTCTAATACGGTTTTATTTCGTTTTCTTTTCGGCTCCTTCCACTCCATTGTTTTGAATCCGTTCACACATGCCGTATAAACTCAACTTAAGTTATGCCCTCGATGTTCTTGCAAGAATCATCGTCTTCATCAGATTATCGATCTTGAAGCTGTTTTACCTAGGGGCTCCGTTTGTACTTCAATCCCATCTTCAAGCACACTTACAAATGCCCACCGTGCCAAGTCAATAGTGCTTATGTCAAGACATCGTGGGAAAATCGACTTAAATGTTCGTTTTGGAAAGTGACAACTATTAGTAAGATTAGTACTAAAACAGTAATCAATTTAGCCTTTCTGCGAGAGCTTGACGAAAAATCGACGCAAAAAGAAGCTGAAATGAAAAGCATTTGTGAAGATTGTAGAAAAGAGGTATGATTGAGATTCTGGTTGAAGAAAAGACTCTTTAGGTGTCTCTCCTCGAAATGTTCCAATGCATGGATTGTGGGGATAAAATGGTAAATGCATTTTGATTAAATTAAAAGGTGATCGCTGCAGTTATCCTGTCGGTGTGCTTGGAGGAATCATCATCCTCATCAGGTTATCGATCTTGAAGTTGCTGAGGTTGGCATAATTTAAGAGCTTCCTGGAGTAAATTGTACTAGCGTTTCAGGTGAAGAAACTGGGGAAAGTGACTCGCGAAACGATCATTCCACAAATTGAGGCCTACAATGTCTGTTTCCCAGAACTCCAATCGGATTTGATCAAGAATTTCAATGAGTGCCAAAAGGTGAAAACTTTGATTCGAAGAAGTTGATGAGCCTGTGTTTTCAGAAAATTCTCAGTCGAACCGATCAACTCGGTTACCTCAATGGGTTTGCAGAAGCAAAGGAGCAACAGAAGGCTTGCATGTGAGTTTTAAAGGGTCAAATTAATCAAAAAAGAATTGCACGTAAAACAAGTATTTTTGATTACTGTAACTTTTTGGAACAGTCTGTCATGCTAGAGGTTCCACCTCGCGCAACGGGTACACCGAAACGTGAAAATGGAAATCGTAGAACGCAGAAATCCAAACAATAACTTTTTAAAGTTGCTACCCAGCTAGCATAAAAAACATTCTTTCATAGAAATCCTTCTACTGGAAAAAAAGGTATTTTAATGAACTTTGCCCCGGGCCAGGAATAGGCTAGTGGAACAACGCCATAATGGTGGCTATGTTCTCCCACTGTTAACAGGAAATATCCCAAAAGCTTTTTCTATTCTTATTGTTCATTTTGAGAGCATTTGGCGAGAGATTCGAGACGATTTGCGAGAAATACTTGGGGGAATTGCGGTCATTCAACACCGGTATTGAGGTGAGTGCATTTTACATAGGAAATCGGATTCAAAAATTGAGTAAATGGATTTGAATTTCTGTAATTTCTATTCAAAACTCTCAACCTGTTGTTTTCATATAATCTGAATTCGAAAATAGTGAAGGTGGCAAAACTAAACGATTCAGAAGCTGATCGATGTCATCAACGAGTCGCCGAAATGAAAATCTTTGAACTTTCTCCATTCTAACATTTTTCACTCTTACTCAAGTTTTGTGAATGCAAATTCAATTTCATTTATTTATTTTATTTTTATTTTGAGTGTTTAGAACACTGTTTGTTCACTTTCGCAATTCGCAAGATAAGCAATCAAGATTTCTCTCAACTATCATTTCGTGGTGTGTTATTGCCAAGTCTTCCTCTAGTATTATCTTGATTTCTTGCTGATTTTCATAAATTCATTAATTGCAAGGAATGAAAATTTGCAAAGAACAAGTTGTGCTGTAGTTTGAAACAATATGACAATTTGGCAATCAATCAAAGATTGGACAAGTGTTCTACCAAAAGCGCCAGCGGTAAGTTTTGGAAAAGGGACAATGGCTACTCACCGAACAACGGAAGAAATGAGTGGAATCGGAATGTAACTGAAATGGAAATTTGACTTATTGAACTGAATAGTTAAGTTTCCACTATGACCGGTCAATCTGTAGAGATAGGTGCCAGCCGGGGCTCTTAGGGATCGTGAATGTGACCTGGGCAAAGAAATCGATTAAGGAATTACCGATTGTGTTGGAGCTGATGGCCCGGAGCACCTGAAAGTGGCTGTTAGACAACCATTAATGTCTGCTCTGAAAAAGATACGGTAATATTATAAAATCTTAATAAACACGAGCAAATTGAACGTCTAGAATATCTTTTGAATTGAATTGTCTACCTGGTGAACATCGAAAAGTGAACACAAAAACTCATTGCCCGGACTTCTAGAAATCGGAGCTTTCAGATCAAAATAGGCTGAGTTTAAAGATTCTTGGTCTGCTCGAATTTTGGGCATTTAAAAGGAAAAATGGAGGGAATTCCTATATTTCTGCCTTTTGCGGGTTGGTTTTGTTGAAAATTATTGATTTTTTCAATTCCGAAAACCGAAATCAAAGTCAACCCAAGCCTTTGCAACTTTGTTAAATTTTCTATTTTTCAATTTCCAATTGACAGATCAGACTATTGTGTGAGCAAAATCTCTAGTGAGTGCTGTGGACGCAATCGATCGGTACTCTTTGATCAACTTGTTATGACGATGATGTTTGCCGTCAGTCATGCTCAAATATTACAACTGGTTTGTTTATGGCTTAAAATGAAGGATATTTCAATCCATAACCTAGGTAAGCCATGTCAGTCTTCTGGTTTAGCCCAGAAAAAGCTAAAAAAGTGTCTTCATTCGAAATATTTCATTGCATCTCAATCTTTCTCGTTACGCTCACAAAATACTCTTTTGTGCACTTTGATGAATTAAAACAGGCAAGGTCTACCGTTAGCGAAATCTTCAATTGCTGGCATGACATCGGCATTTGAAGAGCCCGAGACGAATCGGGACGAAGTGTAGGCGTGGGCTCCGCCCCGTTGGCGACATTTCTTGGTGAAGTATTTCTTCCGTTGTTCGGTGGCCACATCCGGTTCCGTTTGGCAGTATCATGATGTAAGTGTTAGTGATGATTAGCGTACAGAACTTGATTCCGACAGGTGACTGTCGGCCAAATCGCTTGTCATTATTGATCATTATTGATGTTAAAATATCAAAATTTTTTTTAAAATACATTCACTGTAGAAAAATATGGCCAATCAAAATCTCAAAGAGGATAAAAGAGGCGTGAAGCATTTTTTTTACAAGATGTATATAGGATTTCTCACGAGATGAGAGTCGAATCATTTTCTGAAATGCAAAAAGAGCTGTTAGAGCGAAAAGCATTCAATTATCAAGGCTTGACATTTTCTATGTAAGTAGAACAAACCAAAAACTTACTCTGATTCAATAAAAGCAATTTGATTTTGCTAGCTAAAGTTTAAATTCAAACTTGACCCTGTTAGATCAGCAATTTGCTCACAAGTCAAGCTTTATCACTCAAACTAGTCAAATCCATCAGAGTTTACTTGTTAACTGTTAACCTTGATTAGAACTTGTTAAGAACTAATTCGACTAGTTCACACTGACTTACAATTCAAATTTGCGAGAGCTAGTTCTGATGTTATTGACAAATCACTTGCTAGCGCTAGTCTTATAAGCCAACTAAAACCAACCGTGGCCTCATCATCTCGAAAAGCAACAAATGCAAATTGCTGGAATGCCGAGGAACACGCCAACAATGCCAGTAATAAGCCAACCAAGCATTTCAATGTCTTCTTTCTAAATTTGAACTGTTGTGATCAATTGAAAGTAAAAAATGAATAGAAAAAGAGTAAAGAGTTCAAATTCGGTTCTTTTTCGGTGTTGCTTAAATACTTTTTGATAGTCAACAAAGACTGTGAAATAGATCTAGAAATTATGCAAAAAAACGATTATCTTGCCTTGTCTGTATTTGCTTTTTGATACCGGTTAATTGAATCGTGTCATAAATAAATGGAAACATTGAAAATATTTACGGGAAAAGTAGGTGTCTTTTGGCCAGGTGTCTTTTGGCTTACTATTACTATTACGCATTTTTCGGGATTTTAATAGTTTCATTTGTTTGCTAGAAAGTCTTTAAGATTGTAATGATTTTCAATTAATCATATTTAAATATGAAATAAAAGCGATAGACCTTGGGAAAAATAAGATTTTCTTGTTCTTTAGTGGCTTCTCTCATTGCCCAATAAATCATTAAAGTGAGAATAGATCATATTAAGTGAGTTTTGGTGATATTTCTCTAGTTTTGGTGGCATTTTCTCAATTTTTCCATTTAAACTGGATAGAGAATGTGGAATTTCGTTCATTAACATGAAAAATTAAATCTCAATGTGTTTTTGACAATATTTTCTTATTTTTTTCAAGGTCTATCTCTTCCATTTCATAATTGAATATGATTAATTGAAGGTCATTAAAATCTTAAAGACTTTTTAGCAAACAAATGAAACTATTAAAATCCCAAAAAAATGCGTAATAGTAATCACGACACTTGGCTCTCAACTTTGGAAGGCTATAAAAAAAAGTTGAAAGCTTGAATCGATTAGATAATGGGCACCGTTCCAGGAGACATGCTTAAGGTTTCCCTCCAGAAAAATCAGAACGATTCACCCAATCTTCACCAATGCTAGACCCTCTGAAGTGCCACACTATAATTGTCTCCCTGTGGTTACTTGTGACAATTCCCAGGATTCTCAGAAATCCATTGCCACTCTTTATACAATACTTTTTCATGCACCTCATTCTTCGTAATTCGATGAGCGATTTCTGTGGGCGCCATAAAGTGACTCCCATCAACACAAGTCTTTTCCCAGTCATAGAAGATCATCAACAAACTCCGGAGATCCCAGCGTAAACCTGAACGCATTTGAATTAAGTTTAAATCTTAGCTATTGGGTAACTAAACCGAATTTGCACAACTTTAAAACGCTGTTCGACTTATCAACCCTTATCTAATGCACGGCTCATGAGAAAGCCAACATCAAAAACAAACCTGATTTATTCGTCTCACATCCATTCTCTGAAATATAATTCCCCCATTGAAGCAAAAGCCTTTGTCGGAGATTTTCGCGAAATTCCTCATGAAAAACCCTTTCCATTGAATCCCATCCAAACCCGGGTGCTTGAAAATCCTTCAAAAATGCCACACTTACTCGATAGCGGAAATTGTTGCATAAAAAGTTTGTAAAGCAACATTTCTGGCTTAGACAAAGAAATGGATTGTCTTCTAAAGCAGTCTTGGCCACTGTAATATGAAATTTTAACTACGATATTTGAATTGTTGAAGCAAAGATCGCGTACATTTATCAGCTGAAAGAAGCTGAACACGGGCTCCATTCTCTTGATCCATTGCGGTATTCTGTGCATCGTTTTGTCCCATTTCATTTCATCATAAAGATCTTTGAAAGACATGCTACAAGACGGAAATGATATTATTTGAGAAGAATTTTAAAGGAAACAAAAAAATCAAATAGAAAACAGCTGATCGATAGGGAAATAAATGCCGAATTTTCAATCATGAATCACAAAAGACGGGAAACTTTTCAGAGAGAAGAAAATGGCCAAAAATTGCTTCTTTTCTGGGTGGTGAATCAAAGGAAAAGTGTGACCAAAAGCTTAGTGATTCAATTGAAATAAAAATTTTTGAATCTATTTTAGAATTTCTAAATCTTTCCAGTTAAAATAGCCAACAATTCGCTTTTCCGAGATTTATCAAATTTGATTAGAAAAACGAATTGAAGCCCTTTGCTTCTCCCAGATTATATAAAGCTTTTAAAGTTCGGGAGAACAATGCTCGTGGGAATGTGCAACAAATGAGGGAGGTCAGTTTGGTTGAAATTCTCGTGTAAAAGAACAAAGCTTGATCGGCGTTTATCCTATGATCCTTTTTGAATCAATTATCGAGAATTAATGTACCACCTAACGTGCCAGTGCTAATAAAAATGCCACAGACTGCAAAAAGAATATTAATGTCCCTTCCATTATTGGGCCAATCCGGGCAACCCACATCGTTTCCCGGAGAAACTGTGGAGAGACGAAATCAACGAAAACCCCGACCTCATCCCCCTGCTCGCAAACATTCCTTCAACTCACGCTTTCTTATATTTCCCAGCAATGTCTTTCCTCCTACTCAGAAAAAGTCCTTTCTTCTTATAAAAAGACGACAGATTCTGACCTTGGCCAAGGCCAAACCTCACCCAGTTCTTTGGAAAATCTTTGCTTGTACTTGCAAATTCAATTCAGGACGGCCACCCGAAAATCTTGAGTTGGTCTCCAACCGACGAGGGTGAAGGAGTGCCGATATTGATTGGAATGCCGGCTTTATGGGTGACAATGGTCACTCAACATCAAATGATCACCAATCCGATTGCCTCTCATCAAACGAGAAAGTTTCCGGTTTAACGCAATATCTCATCCAGTCAAAGCAGCTATCCGCATTTCATCTCCGTTTTCCAAAAGTTTCCTTTCAACTTTATCGAGTCAAGTTGATCATCACTGTCAATGAACCCCAGAAATCGATTTTCTTGAGCCTATCGGATTATTTTATTCCCTTGATAAGTCGAACAGGGTTTTAAAGTTGTGCAAATTCGGTTTAGTTACCCAATAGCTAAGATTTAAACTTAATTCAAATGCGTTCAGGTTTACGCTGGGATCTCCGGAGTTTGTTGATGATCTTCTATGACTGGGAAAAGGCTTGTGTTGATGGGAGTTACTTTATGGCGCCAACAGAAATCGCTCAGCGAATCACGAAGAATGAGGTGCGTGAAAAAGAATTGATTGGTATAAAGATTGGAAATGGATTTCTGAGAATCCTGGGAATGCTGGATTGTCACAAGTAACTACAGGGTCACAATTATAGTGGCGCACTTCAGAGGGTCAAACATTGGTGAAAATTGGGTGAATCGTTTTGATTTTTCTGGAGAGAAATCTTAAGTATGTCTCCTGGAACGGTGCCCATTATCTAATCGATTCAAGCTTTCAACTTTTTTAGATGGCCTTCCAAAGTTAAGAGCCAATTGTCGTTTGGCACGCTATTACTATTACGCATTTTTTGGGATTTTTAAAGTTTCATTTTTTTCCCAATCCTGCCTTGCCCAACCTTGGTACGTACTGGCGAATAGAAGCCGTTGTTTCCTGTGGCCAGCGGTCATCAAAGGCTTTCGTACAGCTCCCCGGCTATACAGTCCTGCTTGAGTCAATCGTCGAGAAACGGTCCATCGAGAGACATCCTTGTTTGCAACATCCTTGATCAGCCGAGCTCCCTCAGTTGATGTCATGTTCGGATCCTCCTTGGAAGCCATCACAAGTATTCGATCCTCTTTTGCTGTTGTTCTTCTTGGCCCTCCTTTCTTCTCTCTTTGGTACATAAGTCCCGTTGTTTTTGCTTTGGAAACGATGCGAGAAATAGTCGAAGGATCGCATTTGAAGAGATCGGAGACAACGGCTCGAGAAATTCTTTTTTTCTCGCTTTCATGATTTTTTTTCTTTTTCGGGAGTCTTCAAGTAGGTACCTGGCATCTGAAAAAACCAAAATTGGTGTAAATTAATAAATTTGAAAACAATAAAAATGAGAAACATAGAATGTTGCAAGACTTTTGCACCCAGTTTTTCGGGGTATTTTTTAGTAGTTTTGTCATTTACTTTTTTGTTTTACGCTGAACTTCAAATTTGTTTTTGTAAATAAAGTGTACATGTATTATTCTAATTAAAAACAAAAATCCCTACGAACGGGTGGCATTTTCTATAAAAAAATTTCATCGATTTTTTTGAAAAAGTGATGTTGCAAGACTTTTGCTCGGTATTGTACTCTTAAATACCGAAAGACATGTTTTAAAAGCTTCTCTCACAGCAAAAAGTTTAGCAACGCTTGTTTATATCCGAACAACCTAATAGCTCCCTTGGTTGTCTGCTTACAATTACGAATTTGGAAGATCTAGATCTGAGCCAATGGTGTTACCATTTAAGATTAGCAACTAACTTGCTAGATTTACTCTAATAACTCAATTAAAACCAAAACTTAACGTCTTCATCATCTCGAAAGTTCACAAATGAGAGCTGCTGGAATGGCGAGGAACACGCCAACAATGGCACCGATAAGCCAGCCAAGCATTTCACGGGTTTCTTTCTCAATTTGAACTGTTTTAATTAATTGAAAGTTTGAAAATGAATAGAAAAAGAGTTTAAATCGGTTTGGTTTTGGTGTTGCTTAAATACTTTCTCATAGTCAACAAAGCATTGTGAAATAGATTCTTAAATTATGTAACAAAAAAATCCATTATCTTTGATAGATTTCTTTTCGGGTGGATTCTTTGTATTTGCATTTTGGTATTGGGAAACTGAATTGCGCTAAAGAAATTCGAACCTTGAAAATATTTGCGGGAAAAGCGAAAAGTTGTTCTAGACGAAATTTTGTGGAACTTTTTGAGTAATCTTTTCCACCTAAAGCCATTCCACCACAAGCCGATTTCCTCCTTACAGCTAGTGACATCGAAGCTGCTTTCAAAAAAGTTGAGACCCAAAAATCGCCTAGTCCAGACAAAATTACTGCTTTTGTTCTAAAGAAACTACATAAAGTGCTAGTCATTCCTCTTGCCAAATTCTTCAATAAAATTTTGCTTGTCTCTGCGGTCCCAACTTACTGGAAACAATCTCTTGTGTCGCCTCTTCTCAAAAAATCGCCCAAAAATATATTCGCTAATTATCGTCCCATTTCTTTAACTTCTCCTGTGTCAAAACTTTTTGAAATTATCATAAAAGATAAAATTTTTCAACATTTTGATAAGTACAATCTTTTTTCTGACCAGCAGTTTGGCTTCCTTAAAAATAAATCCACAACTTCTCAACTTATTTTAGCCTATAAGTCCTTTTTCAAAGCTTTAGATCAAAAAGAAAAATCTATTTCCCAACTAGAAGCCGTCTTCTTAGATTTTGCAAAAGCTTTTGATTCTGTTCCCATTGATCTTCTAATTCACAAACTGCATGCTTACCGGCTCAGCCCACTTGTAATTTCGGTCGTCAAAAATTTTCTTTCTCAGCGGACTTTCAAAGTAATTCTAAATAATGTTCTTTCTCCCTCTTTTGATTGTCCTAGCGGGGTTCCTCAGGGTAGTATTCTTGGTCCTCTTTTGTTTACTATCTATATTAATGACCTGCCTAACTGTCCTTTCAAATCAAAAAAATTCCTCCATCTGGCTCTATGCCGATGATGTTAAGCTTACGTTCAAAATTCCCATCGGAACTCAAGTAGCTTCGCTTGCGGCTGTAAAAGATGCAAACCATGACTTAGAACTTATTAATTTGTGGGCCAAAACGTGGAAGCTTTCCCTATCCCCTTCAAAATCTCAACATTTTTCCACTGGTAAATTTAGTTTCTCTTTGGTAATTAACAATATTCCTATCAATTACATTAGTAAATTAGATTTTGTTAGAGATTTAGGTGTCCACATCTCTCCCCCTTTTAATTTCACTAAACATATTGAAATCATTTGTCGAAAAGCTTCTTTTGTTTCTAGCCGTATTCTCAAATCAATTGTTCATCCTAACCTAAACTCTTACCGCAAATGCTTGACGACTTATATCCGGCCCATCTTAGAATATGCTTCTATTGTTTGGTCTCCCCGCGCACAAGTCTTTATTGAATGCTTGGAGAAAACTCAGAGGAGGTTCACAAAAGTCGCTTTATGGAAAATTGACTATTCTAAATATTCTAGCTTAACTTATGAGGAGAGACTTGCTTTTTTTGAACTAAAAACTTTACAGCATCGTCGCTTTGTCATTGATTTAGTCGAAACTTTCAAAATCCTCCGTTGTAAACAGATTAGCCCTTTGTTTATAGACTTTTTCAAATTTAAACCGCGGTCAGGGTCCAGAAGTGGCTCATTCCTTTTGCAAATTCCCTTTGCTTCCAATGCCTCTTTATCAAATTCATTTCCCGTTAGAGCCGCTAGATTATGGAACTTGCTCCCAAACGACATACGAGAAATTCAGTCGCTTTTCATATTCAAGAAACGTATCGATGCTTTAGATCTAGTGGCTCTTTGCCGTAAGTAATTGGCTTATTGATTTCAGTATGTATTGTATGATTAAGTATCACTGTGCATTTCTCTATGATTTCTTTCACTTTATCGTTTGAATAAAGTATTATTATTATTAATCTTGTCATTTTTCAATCCAATCACGGGCATTGATCGTCATCTCACAAAATTGAAGGGTTTTTGTCGATTGTTCGTGATAGAAATGTTCACAAATGAGATCGGGTCCGATGTCGTGGATGACTGAAAGAATACTGGTCAGTTTCAATGTCACATAGTGATTCTGGATAACTATTATTGCCCAAGTCTTGACTTTGACCAAAGACCCAAGACACCTTGACTCTAGCCCTGGTCCGACTTAAAAGCTATAAAGTTTAGATATCTCCAAGGTCTAATCTAAAATGACAGACTGTGACCTTGACTTGAAATTGATTTAATAGTAAATATTCAATAGTAGTAGACTTGGCTTGGCCTAATCGTGAAGTAAGATTGCCATTACTATAGCCTAGCATGGCCCCGGTCGGATTTAAAGGCTATAAAGTATAGATATCTTCAAGATTTGCGTACAGTTTTTATACCCATTCTTTACCTGTTTGCTTCGAAGAACGAAACATTTGAGCATCCTAAAGAAGTACACGCGATAGCTGTCATACAAACGTATGACGATGAATGTCGAGGCTGTACCGTGAAAACAACCAATGGCACTCAACCAGATGATATATTCTGATTAGCGTCTTTTATGCTTCAGTACACTAGGTCTAGTTACCCAAACTTTAACCTGGTTTACTGGTATCGTTATACATTTGAAGGGTCGTTGATTTGTGCTCACTTCCTCGTGATTAATCCAAATCATAAATGTTTTAGAATAGAGGAAATTAGAAAATATTCAAAAAGTTAGTACCCATTGTCCCTTTCCCAAAAATAACTAGCCATTTTGCCGCTGACGCTTTTGGTTTACTGTTGGCTTTCTTGTCCAATCTTTGATTGATTGCCAAATTGTCATATTGTTTCAAACTACAGCACAACTTGTTCGTGCATATTTTTATTCTTTGCAATTTCTGAATTTATGAAAATCAGCAAGGAATTAAGATAATACCAGAGTAAAACTTGGAAATAACACACCACGAAAAGATAGTTGAGAGAAATTTTGATTGCTTATCTTGCGAATTGCAAAAGTGAACAACTTCTAAACCCTTAAAAATAAACAATGAATAACAATAAAATAAATAACACTAAATAAGAATAAATAGAAAAATTAAATAAATAAATGAAACTGAATTTGCATTGGCAAAACTTGAGTAAGAGTGAAAAATGTTAGAATAGAGAAAGAAAGAAAAAGACCAAGATTTTCATTTCATTTTGGGGACTCGTTGATGTCATCGACGAGCTTCTGAATCGTTTAGTTTTGCCACTTTGACCATTTTCGAACTCAGATTATATGAAAACAACAAGTTGAGTTTTGAATAGAAATTGAGTGTTACATGGGTAAATTGAGTGTTACATTACTAAATTCTAAATCCGATTTCCTATGTCAAATGCACTTACCTCAATACCGGTGTTGAATGACCGCAATTCACCCAAATATTTCTCGCAAATCGTCTCGAATCTCTCGCCAAATGCCCTCAAAATGAACAATAAGAATCGAAAAAGCTTTTGGGATACTTCCTGTTAACAGTGGGAGAACATCGCTAGCATTATGTTCCACTACCCTGTGCCTGGCCCGGGGCACATCGAGTACAAAATTAAAAGCGTAGAACGCAGAAATCCAAACAATGACTTTTTAAGTTGCTATCCAGCTAGCATAAAAAACATTCTTTCATAGAAATCCTTTTCTGTTTTCTTTTTTTTTAGATTGTTGTCCGATGTTTTCTTGAATTTTTTATAAATCCCTATAAAACTAGTAGCATTGTCCTGTGCAAAAGTTCATTAACCCATTCAAAACTTCTGCAGCGAATAATCGCTGCAGCAAAAACTCGGGAACGGACCGCTCCAGCCATCATTGACCTATTTTCGTTCAATCGATTGGTTTTTTTTGCGGTTTTTCGGCATTACATGTATATTCAAACTGTAATGGATACATGAAAAAATGCTGCGGTGGAAAAATTTCAAAAAAGGGCGCGGTCCGCAGACGAAGAAAAAAGAAAAAAGAAAAACACTCCGGTTTCGAATGGGTTAAAATAACTTTTTTTCCAGTAGAAGGATTTCTATGAAAGAATGTTTTTTATGCTAGCTGGGTAGCAACTTAAAAAGTCATTGTTTGGATTTCTGCGTTCTACGCTTTTAATCTTTACATTTCGTTGTACCCGTTGCGCGAGGTGGAACCTCTAGCTTGACACACTCTCGGAAAAAGTTACACTAATCAAAAGTTCTTGTTTTAAGTGCAATTCTTTTTTGATTAATTTGACCCTTTAAAACTCACACGCAAGCCTTCTGTTGCTCCTTTGCTTCTGCAAACCCATTGAGGTTACCGAGTTGATCGGTTCGACTGAGAATTTTCTCAAAACACAGGCTCATCAACTGTTTCTAATCAAAGTTTTCACCTCTTGGCACTCATTCAAATTCTTGATCAAATTCGATTGGAGTTCCGGGAAACAGACATTGTAGGCCTCAATTTGTGGGATGATCGTTTCGCGAGTCACTTTCCCCAGTTTCTTCACCTGAAACGCTAGTACAATTTACTCCAGGAAGCTCTTAAATTATGCCAACCTCAACAACTTCAAGATCGATAATCTGATGAAGACGATGATTCTTACAAGAACATCGAGGGCATAACTGCAGTGATCCCTTTTTTGATTTAATTAAAATTAATTTACCATTTTATCCCCACAATCCATGCATTGGAACATTTCGAGAAGAGACACCTAAAGAGTCTTTTCTTTAACCAGAATCTCAATCAAACCTCTTTTCTACAATCTTCACAAATCCTTTTCATTTCAGCTTCTTTTTGTGTCGATTTTTCGTCAAGTTCTCGCAGAAGGGCTAAATTGCTTAGTGTTTTAGTATTAATACTACTAATAGTTGTCACTTTCCAAAACGAACTTTTTAGTCGATTTTTCCACGATCGCTTGGAATAACTACCATTGGCTTGGCACAGTGGGCAGTCGTAGCTGTACTTTAAGATGGAATTCGGGTAAAAACTAGCACTCTGGGTAAAACATCCATTACACACGATATGTCCACAATGGAGACTGCATGGCTCATTTTTGGGGTCTCTCAACGAATCTAAACTTGTATTGCTTTCTTAAAAACAAGCATCACCGACATTCTTCTTCACAAACCGGACATTCCGGAATTGTGATTGATTGGGTTGTTTGCACATATCCTTTCCCTTGCTGATCCAATTTGAAAGCCCTACTTGAGAGCAGCTCTTAAAGAAGGATTCATTGATTTTTACTGTTTAAAAAATCTTACCCATTAAGTAATACGATGGAGTTGGCACGCGATCAAAACAAACCCTGCCGCATTTATGCACTCGAATTCCTCGATCGATTTTTCTTTTGTAACATCCCATACACAGTGCTTCAATAGCATGGCAACTAGTCTGCGTTGGTGTATTCTTTGCGCCTGCCGTTTTCGAGACTAAAAAATGTAAGTGAAAAAAAAGTGACAGAAACTTGTATCATTTTTAAGAAGCACTTACATCCCATTTTGTGTACTGGGGGGATTTTGGGCTGACCTGAGCTGGCTTTAAAGTTTCTGGTTTGGAGCATTCTTGGCAGGCTCGTTTAAATGCAGCAGCTTCAAGGGCTTTTGATGATTCTAGCCGATAATTTGCCTAGTCTGACGTACTTTAGCCATCAAACACTATCTCAAAGCCATTTATACTTGGAAAACAAGCAGAAGCGCTGTAGTACTACTTGAAATATGTCGAAAATACTCTAGAAATCGTTCGAATTGAGTTAGCCTAATTAATTTGGTTCAAAATCAACTCACATGGTGTGTCACATTCGGGACAATTGAGAGACTTGAAGATTTGTTGAGTCGAGGTGAGCATTCTTGGTTGATGACTGAAATGTTTGACGATTAAAATAAGATAAAAGCAAGCAAATTGGCAATGGAACAAAACTGCAATTCATGGTAGATAATATCTTGCAAAAATGAAGAAGCAAAGAAATGTTGAGATGAGGTTACAATCCTTTTCTAAAATGATTTCACATGAAACCCAAGACGAGATAACAAGCTCGCGCCGTGGCAGATTATTTAGATTTGCGCTTTAGTTAAAAGGAATTGGTTAAGTTGAGTTCATACGACATGTGTGAACGGATTCAGAACAATGGAGTGGATGAAGCCGAAAAGAAAACGAAATAAAACCGTATTAGAAATTTAAACAACAAACTATGGGCAAATAATATAAAAGAGAGGGAACGAATGAGGGAAAAGAGAGAGTACTTTAAAAAGAAAAACAATAAATCTTACGAAGAGGGAAGAAAACTTAGCGGCACTCGGCATAAAAGCTGGATAAAGACTCCACCATGAAATGCGGAAAAATGAAAAGAATGGCAAAAGCTAATTTGTTTGCGGGGTACGGTAGTGCATCCACATTTTAGAAGGCGCGACGTCCCTTACAAGGAAAAGGAATCTAACTCTCATGAAAATCGAAAAGATCTGCCAATAATTGTTATCCCATAGACTTAATAGAAGACAATTAATTAAGTCCAGTGATAGAGCAAACTGCAAGAATTGTTCTGCAGGATCTCTGACCTTTGATCATCATTTGTAAAAAATTGCAAAAAAATACCACACAGACCTCCATACACCATGGGATGCACCCAGCCTTAACTGGACCTTCCATTCCCGACATGATGGGGCTGCGTGTTAATGCGGCACAGAAGACGTTGCAAGCTAGATGAACTTATTGATGTATAATGTTCGTAGAAGCTAGTACCTGCAAACAACTAGCCTGCAAACAATAACTGCAAACAACTTTCAACCTAACTAGCCCGGTTGGGGCTAGTTAGGTTGAAAAGAATAAATAGTGCTAGAGTATTCAGCAGCAATCGCATTTCGGATTCTAAAATTTATTTTGAAGGTATCGAAGTATGAAAGCGAGTTGGAATTCTAGTAAAAAAAAACAAAAGTGATGAAGAACATGAAGCTAGATAAAGGACTCTTTTTGAAGAAGCGTCAGTCTATTTATTACACAAAAAATCTTGTAAGCATTATATATAAAAAAGAGCTGGGAAACAGTTTTTAAGATTTTCATATTCATCTCCTTTATTGAATGCAGCATTGAGCTCTTTCCTTCTCTCCATCAGTGTTTTAATTTTAATTTTATAATTTTATTTACGGGGAAAAGCAATGGTTTTCTGTTCTAGATGAAATTTTGAGAAACTTGTTGACTAATCTTGTCATTTTCAATTCAATCACGGGCTTGACCATAATCTCACAAAATTGAAGGGTTTTTGTCGATTGCTCGTGATAAATATGTTCACACTTGAGATCGGGCCCGATGTGGTGGATGACTGAAAGAATGCTGGTCAGTTTCAATGTTACATAGTGATTCTGGATAAGTGGATAACTATGAATTTTAAACCGATTTACGATCAATGGGCACCCTACAACCTCACCCCCATGAAAGGGCAGAGGTCATTAGTTGCCGCTGCCCTTCTTTCCAGATACGAGGGAAAATCTTTCTTGTAGTGTAGTGACGGGAAACAACGCAATGTCCGGCGCCGGGGATTTCTTCAAATATTTGGCAACAAGGAGCCATGACATTGGTTGATTTTGAAAAGAAAAGCTCAAGTTGAGATTGAATTTTAGAGAGGCGTCTCTGGATGGACTTGCGGGACATCATTGGTTAATGTTTGTCCGACAACGACAACGACTACTATAGGCACAACTCTTCCTGACACAACCACAAGTCCCATTATATAATCGGGTTAAAATTTTTGATTTATAAAAGGAAAATTGGGTTACGTTGAATAAAATTTGGCTTTAAACGTTCGAAAAACCGTTTGGCCCTCTGAAGTGCGCCACTATAATTGTGACCCTGTAGTTACTTGTGACAATCCAGCATTCCCAGGATTCTCAGAAATCCACTGCCAATCTTTATACAATTCTTTTTCATGCACCTCATTCTTCGTGATTCGGTGAGCGATTTCTGTGGGCGCCATAAAGTAACTCCCATCAACACAAGCATTTTCCCAATCATTCCCCCATTGAAACAAAAGCCTTTGTCGGAGATCTCCGCGAAATTTCTCATGAGAAACCCTTTCCATTGAATTCCATCCAAACCCAGGTGCTTGAAAATCCTTCAAAAATGCCACACTCACTCGATAGCGGAAATTGTTGCAGAAAAAGTTTGTAAAGCAAGATTTCTGGGCTAGACAAAGAAATGGATTATCTTCTAGAGCTAAGGGAATAAAATGATCCGATAGGCTTAAGAAAATCGATTTCTGGAGTTCATTGACAGTGATGATCAACCTGACTCGATAAAGTTGAAAGGAAACTTTTGGAGAACGGAGATAAAATGCGGATAGCTGCTTTGACTGGATGAGATATTGCGTTAAATCGGAAATCTTTCTCGTTTGATGATAGGCAATCGGATTGGTGATCATTTGATGTTGAGTGGCCATTGTCACCCATAAAGCCGGCATTCCAACCAATATCGACACTCCTTCACCCTCGTCGGTTGGAGACCAACTCAAGGTTTTTGGGTGGCCGTCCTGAATTGAATTTTCAAGTACGAGCAAAGATTCTCCAAAGAACTGGGGCTGGCCTTGTCTTGGCCAAGGACAGAATCTGTCGTCTTACTTTAAGCCTCAAGCCAGGTCAGACTAAACCAGTTTCAGATAGAATCAGACATTTAGTGTGACACGTTTGTACTTAACCTAGCTTAGAGTCAGTCTTGTCCACTGAAATATCAAATTTAAACTACGGTATTTGAATTGTTGAGGCAAAGATCACGAACATTTATCGGCTGAAAAAAGCTGAACACGGGCTCCATTCTCTTGATCCATTGCGGTATTCTGTGCATCGTTTTGTCCCATTTCATTTCATCATAAAGAGCATTGAAAGACATGCTACAAGACGGGAATAATATCATTTGAGAAGAATTTTGAAGGAAACCAAAAAAATCAAATAGAAAACAGCTGATCGATAGAAAAATAAATGCCGAATTTTCAATCATGAATCACAAAAGACGGGAAACTTTTCAGAGTAAAGAAAATGAGCAAAAATTGCTGCGTTTCTGGGTGGTGAATCAAAGGAAAAGTGTGACCAAAAGCCTAGTGATTCGTTTGAAATAAACATTTTTGAATCTATTTTAAAATTTCTAAATCTTTCCAGTTAAAATAGCCAACAATTGGCTTTCCGGGATTTATCAAATTTTGATTAGAAAGACAAATTGAAGCCCTTTTCTTCTCCCAAATTATATAAACCTTTAAAAGTTCGTTGCCGGGACAACAATTACCACACGGTGTGCAAAAAGTGTGTGCAAAAATGCAAAAACAATGTTAATGTCCCTTCCATTTTTGGACCAATCCGAGCAACCCACATCGTTTCCCGGAGAAACTGTGGAGAGACGAAATCAACGAAAACCCCGACCTCATCCCCCTGCTCGCAAACATTCCTTCAACTCACGCTTTCTTATATTTCCCAGCAATGTCTTTCCTCCTACTCAGAAAAAGTCCTTTCTTCTTATAAAAAGCTTAAGTTCTCATATTTTACTGATTTTCAACCTCTTCATCCATTTTTTTTGGTTGTTTTAGCTGTACAGGGTTGTCCAGGATTATGGAGGGGTATCTTTGATATTGTATATTTTTGCTTACAACCTATATGTAGTTTTTATCTTTCTTTTCGTTTATTTCATTTATTTAACTATTTACTTACTATTTTTTCTCAAAAGAATGTCTCTTTAGAATGGCCAAGAAGTCAGTGTACCGAGATGCGATCATCGACCTACACAAGCGTGACGTTTTGGCTTTCAAATTCCTCTTCAAATCGTTCAATTGTGCACTTTGTTCCACGCCGTGTAAGTTTTACTTTGAATTCAAAAAACGTATTATTTTTGCCATTAACTTATTGTAACAAAAATGTGCAGAATTGTATTTCAGACTCAAAAACGGCAAATGAAGTAAATACACCGACACAAACTAGGTGTGGTGATATTCAAGCAATGTGCATGCAATTTTTTGAAGAACAACGAGCAATAACCCCAGCGATTCGAGCACCTCAATTTATATATCGATTCAAACACCTCATTCGCAGGCCCATGGCGTGTCCTTCATATTGCTTAATGGGTGAGTAAAGTTGGAAGTAATCAAAGAAAATTTGACTGGTCGGATTGGGCTCTTTGAGAGTCTGAAAAATGGGGTACAAAACTCCAATCAAAAATCTTTTATTACAGAAATGTAGGCAAGAATTCAGACTTTGATTCACTATATCACAATTAGAGTTTTTGAAATGACTTCGGTGTTTGGCATGTAATCTGCTGAAATGTAACCGTAATTTTGGCGCACCCAGTCGTATCTCTTTGAAAAACAAACACAATCAGATTGCTTTAGAATTGCTCTCAAGTCGGTGCTTTACGTTGAATCAAAATTTGATGGGATACGTTCAAACAACTCAATCAATCACAATTCCGGAGTGTCCGATTTGTCATGAAGAATGTGGGTGATTTCATTGTACACTTAGAAAATGATGAAACATTAGACTCAATAGAAAACTCACAAAGAGAACCATTCATCCTTTACTGTGGCCACGGAATGTGTAATGGGTGCTTTGCTAAAATGTCAAAGCCAATAACCGATGAGGATCCCAAATATTGGCTCGAATGTCCACAATGCAAACAAAACAGTTGGTATGCTCAAGAATCATGGGAGAATCCATTGAAAAGTTGGTTGCTTTTCTATCATACTTGAATCGTTAAAATCATTCAGTCTTTTTGCGAGAACTGTCGGGGAAACAAACTGAATTGAAAAGAACATGTAGTGATTGCAAAAAAGAGGTTTTCCTCTAGATTTAACGTTGTCAAAATCTATTTAGGCGCCTCTGTTCGAAATGTTTCAATGTAATGATTGTGGAAAAATAATGGTTCGTTGAGAAGAGTTCTTTGAAAATAGAAGTTTCTTTTTGGATAATTGTGTGCATATTTCAGTTAACGCTTTCAGGGATGTTAGAGAATTTCAAAACCTACCCTGTGAAAAATGAAAGTATAAATCAAAGTTTAGCTTTGCGCTTTATGTGTAGTGAAAAAGCATCGAGAGCATAAAACTGTCGATTTGGAAGTTGTAGAGGTAGAAAAGAAGAATCTACAAATAACCAGAAGAACATTCCATTTCAGGTGAAGAAATTGATGAATGCAACTTATGAAGTGATTACCCCGCAAATTAAAGCTTATGATGTCTGTTTTCCCGAAATTCAAGCGGATTTGATTGAAAAAATCCACAATTTTCAAGCGGTTAATTTTTCAAATTTTTGTGATAAATTCCTGAGATTCTTCAGAAAGCTCTTGAAAAAGCCGGCAAAATTGAGAGGTTGAATTATAATCCAGCAGAGTACGAAAAGGCGGATTGTTTGTAAGTTTACAGGATTTTGAAAACGAAAACTTTCAACTTTCAGAGCTATTGGTGAGGAATTTGAGGGGATTTGCGAGAAATATTTGGGCGAATTGCGATCATGTAACATTGGAATTGAGGTTTAATGTTAAAATAGGGCATCTATTATTCTCAAAGTTTAGAGGTTGCTCAGCAAATTCAATGAGTCAGAATGAACTTCATAAGATTTCTTGAAGTTACGGATATTAGCTTCTTTATGTAATTTGTTGTTAATAGAGCTAAATTTAACCATTCAATTTGATTAATAATTTGATTTGAAAAATTTGATTGGACTGACTCTTTTTTGTTTGCTTTCCGATTCATCTGAATTATTTTCAATTTAAACAGCGAATAAAATGTCATCAAAATGCACCATTTTCAAAGCACTCGATTGTCCTTAAAGCTCGACACCGTGTGAGTTTTGCTTGTTCATAAATACTTAGGTAGCTGAAAAAATATTGACAATTCCATCAAACTTTTCCAACCTGCAGAACTTCTGATTACTGTAACTTTTTCCGAGGGTGTGTCAAGCTAGAGGTCCCACCCCGCACAACGGGTAGAACGAAATATAAAAATTAAAATCGTAGTACTCAAAAATCCAAACAATAACTTTTTTAAGTTGCTAGCATAAAAAACATTCTTTCATAGAAATCCTTCTACTGGAAAAAAATTTATTTCTATGAGCTTTTACGCAGCATAATCTGGAGAGGCCGCGGCTTATCCTTCTCTTTCATTTGCCAATTTGCTGGATTTCTACGTTCTATGATTTTAATTTTGTACTCGATGTGCCCCGGGCCAGGCACAGGCTTTTGGAACAACGCCATAATGCTGGCTATGTTCTCCCACTGTTGACAGGAAATATCCCAAAAGCTTTTTCTATTCTTATTGTTCATTTTGAGAGCATTTGGCGAGAGATTCGAGACTATTTGCGAGAAATATTTGGGTGAATTGCGGTCATTCAACACCGGTATTGAGGTAAGTGCATTTGACATAGGAAATCGGATTTAGAATTTAGTAATGTAACACTCAATTTACCCATGTAACACTCAATTTCTATTCAAAACTCAACTTGTTGTTTTCATATAATCTGAGTTCGAAAATGGTCAAAATGGCAAAACTAAACGATTCAGAAGCTCGTCGATGACATCAACGAGTCGCCAAAATGAAATGAAAATCTTTGAAATTTCTCTATTCAAACATTTTTCACTCTTACTCAAGTTGTGTCAATGCAAATTCAGTTTCATTTATTTATTTATATTTTTATTTCAGTTTAGAAAAAACGGAAATTTCTGAAAAAACGGAGAAACGGAGATTTCTCCGTTTCTTAAATTTTGAATACATTCCAATTCTTCCAGGCTTATCAGTGGAAAGGCACCGATGGTAGGAAAAAAAGCACCGATTACCAGTATTTAGTATTTTTCCTATGTGCCAAAGATGTTTCCTTTTGAAGCACAGAAATTTTCAGCGTCAACTTAAAAAGGCAAATCGCGTTGATAAGAGCTAAGATTGTGCCTACTATGATTAACAAAGGTCAAAAACTCTATCAAAGGTCTTAGAAATAAAAGAGGGTTGAAAAACTTTTAGTGAACACTTTTAGCTGTGATATTTTTACAGAGTTTATTTATTGTCTATGTTATTCTTTTGATAAATCTCTTTTAATAATATTACTGTTTTTCTATAGGCTCTATGCCATAATACATCTATCTTTATATTTTATTTATTCAAATACATATTTCGTTTAGCCATGTCTGCTTCGGTTTCCTCTTTTGAATACGATATGATTAGGGTGAGCCTGAAAGCATTTTTCCAGAATAACATTTTTTAGGATCTGGAAATGGAAAACCCGCTGAACGAGGCTGCGGCCGAGGCTATGGAAGCTTTCGAACAAGTCGGTGCCTTTTTTCTAGTGTTTCACTAGTCCTAACACTTAAACATCTACCTAATATCCTGTTTACATGCACCATATTCAACTTTAGTCCTACTCCAACGATCCAAAACCCTTTCTCAGCAACTGGCGTCCACAAGTGCCCATCTTTATGATTGCACAAGAGGTGAGTCCTGAAAAACACTTGGCACCTTTTTTAGAAATATAATTATTTACGAAGTTAACTTTAAATCGCAGAAAAAAGAGATTCTTTCAATTTTTCTTTCAATCCAATTCTGCCAATCTCTTTATTTTGTGACTCATTTTTGAGACAAAACTTTGTTAAAAAGTAGTTTATTACAGGAGGAAATTAAGCGTCGTTTTTAGGATCTTGACTGGAAAGCGCACGAATTGACTATCAAGTCATTTCTAGCGCTATAACGATTTTATGAAAAATAGCTAGCGTGCTTTCAAAAGCCACAAAGGGTTTGTCTGAAGTCGGTGAATTGCGACAGGTTTACACGAGTTTCTGGTAGACAATTGACGGTGATTTCTGGTGGATTGACTCTTTTTACGATTTTGATTAAAGTAGCTTAGTGAATAGTCTACTAGGATCTCAGC